GATGAGAGTACCATACTCGAAATACCACCTCAGACTACCTAGTAGCCGGGGGTATTTTTTCTAGTTTATCTCTTCAGTTACTTGTGCGCCCACCAGCGTTTTTACCCCCTAACCAATCCATTCTTACCGCACGCTATGAACCATCCCATTCCTCGTTACCCGGCCACCAGAGTGACTTCACCTGGTGTTGCCGCCGCCGCGTTCGCTGCCACGAACAGTGCGGATCCCGGCAAGGAAAGGGCTTCGGCCCTGTCCTTCGTCGATTCTGTCTCCGAGGTCATCTTGACCATAGAGCAGGAATATCGGGAGTTGCTTCGGACGAAGCTCAACACCCTTGCCGATGACGCTCGCCGCGCCGTCACTCTTGACTCCTCTCTGAGGAAGTTGCAAGAGCACGAGGCAAAGGGGACCTTCCCACCCTTCATCGAAGGGACCAAGGAACCTAAGCTCCAGGCGAGCAAAGAGTTCCTTGCTGCGCAAGGCGAACAACTGGCGGCCATTAAAACCGGCCTAAAGGACTTCAAAAAGGGCGCCCTCACGACAGCTATCACGCTGAAGAACAATGAGGTGCAGTCCGTGCGCTCTCGGCTGGCACCCGAGGTCTTCGTCCCACCTTTGGTGGACATTGTCAAAGCCCGGTACGCTCAGATCAAGGATCACGTACGCGAACCGGTGTGGGCAGAGGCGGGGGAAGGTGAAAACCCGGTCGACGGCGACGTCGACATGGACACCGAACCCGGGCAACTTAAAATAGTAGCCTGGCGTGAAAGCCCCCGGACGAAAGAAGTCGTTAGACGACTTATTTTAGACTTGCCATCTATCGGAATGCGCATCGTTATGTTAGCACAAGCCGCCGAAGATAGGAACGCCGCAACTCAAGCGGCTAAAAAAGTCTTGAAAGCCAAGGCAGACGTGGAGATGGGTGACGCAACCGCTGTAAACGCGGGACCATCCTCCTCCAACAAGAGCGTTAAGGCTCTTGTCGACAAGGCTGTCGCTGCTGCCTTAAAAAATGCTTCTGGCCCCGCTTCCAAGGGGCCGGTCAAGAAGGTACGGACCTCGGTCCCTCTATCGACTCAACTGACCCAACTCCATCTAGAACGCCGCCAAGTCCAAGGGCGGCAAAGGAAAGGAGAAGAAGGACAAACCCAAGGCCGAAGCCGCTGCCCAGAACGCCGGCAAGAAGAAGACCAAGGGGAAGCCGTCCGGAAAGGGAAAGAAGCATGGCAACGAGAAGTAGAAGACTGGCTCCTCACGCAACCTATCAGGTACGATCACCCATCATCTTGGCCCGATCTTATCTTAGAATTAAACCCTGATAGCGCTGTTCGGATACTGCACACTTTCGTGCCTCTTAACGTACTAGAGGCGAGTAGATATCGATCGTATGTACATGTAGGACCTGGTGTCCAAATAGATGAAACTTCTTCTTCGATTCTTCGTGAATTAAGTCTATCGTATAAATATATGTTCCCCACGCTTCAAAACTCTAAGTTATTGTTAGATGCGTATGAAGACTTCGCCGACAGGCTAAGATGGAAACTCCGCTTTATTTATAAAGCTTTCCATGGGAACTACGAAGACAGACCCTTTGACCCAGACTATCGGATTATTAAAGAGCGTGTGCCCTGTGATCCGATCCCTTACCAAGGAATAGAATCCGCCATTAGTGCCGGTCGCGACTATGTCAGGAATTGTACCCTGAGCGCTATACCGCCTAAAATCAACGAACTTGAAACCACAGTTCCACGAGGCCGAATCTACCGCTGGTTGATAGAACACAATTGCTTGGTTCTTCCAACGGATAAAAATCTAGGCGCTTGCGTCGTAACGGTTAACTGGTACAAGGATCAATGTATGCAACTATTAAGTAATAGACTAGACTATGAAATAATTGACGATGCAACTCGTCTAGCCATACTATCGAGACAACGAATTTCCATACTCGCGTTAAGCGACTTGGCGGCAAATGCTTTAGGGCACCAGCAGCTAAGTGCGTTCTTACAACAATTTATTGTTGGGGTGGAGGAAGGCGAAACTGAGGATGACGCTCATATGCGTGTTAAACTCCCAAAGTTTTACGGTATTCCAAAAATACATAAGGTACCGACCAAATTTAGGCCGATCGTACCTTGCCATTCTGCAATGCAGAACCCCGCTGCTAAATTCGTCTCAAAATATCTCAAACCCATAATAGAATCATCTCCATATATTCTTGGCGGGTCGAAGCAGTTAGCTCAGCTTCTTAATCAATTTAACGAGATATCAGGCAAACGTAAATTCTATATTGTCACCGGCGATGTGGTAGCTTTCTACCCCAACGTTCCTGTCGACAAAGGTATCGAGGCGGTCTTAGACCTATGGGACGAGCATTACGCTATTGATCCCGAACCTATTCCACGCCATATGCTCGAACTCGCATTAGAAGTTGCCTTAAATAACCTTATCGTCCAATTTGGCGAACAAACGTACAAACAAACCCGTGGCTTAGCCATGGGCGTAGCGTGCTCCCCCGATGTTGCAAACTTATTCGGGCATTTCCATGAAGCGCTCATTGTACCTAATCTTAACAAATTACTGTTCTATAGACGGTATATAGATGACGTGTTCGCATTAGTCGAAGCTAATTCAGAAATAGAAGCGTATAATTATATGCGCGATAATCTTGTTTTAGAAGGCTGCCAAATCGGTTGGGAAGTCTCTCAGCATCACGCTGTATTTTTAGACATGTTTGTGTATCGTGATCCATTCACTAACAACGTAGAACACATGCCTTATCGTAAGAGACTAAACCATTTCGAACGAATCCCCTGGGACTCAGCACACCCATATGACGTGAAGAAAGGCACGTTCATAGGTGAGCTAAGCCGCCTAGCCACTTTGTCCAGTAAAATAGAATACTACCGGACCGCGATCTCAGATCTATGCTGTGTTTACATATCGCGAGGCTATCCGGCATCGGTTATTAATAACTGGTCTAGACAGTACGCTACCAAAAAATGGGAAGCACGTCTATTGACAAGAGCGGTATCAGAGGATCCCATTCTTGTAGTCAAAACCGAATTTAATACCGCATGGGATTGGTTCAGCATTAAAAGCTTAGAGGATACCATTATGCATAAGCTAAATCGTTATAGGAACGATTTCGTGTCCGGTGTGTATGGGACGCAAAACACACCGGTGTACCAAGATAGATTGACCGAATGGCTCGTGCCCGCTCACGCTCCGGCTCCTGACGTACTCGAACATCTGGGCCTCCCACGGGAAGCACTTTTGATTAGGGACGTTAGTGTAGTAGGCGGCGTTAAAGCCGAGTCGGCCGCGATATTAGATCTTGGCAATTATGTAATGGGAAATGCAAGGTGGCTTGTATCGCGCAAAAGAACACAAAATTTTGCCGATCTAGCATCACTCTGGAGAAATTCCCTCCTCAAAATAGCATTAGAACAGGACGATTTTATTCCTCCTGTTGAAATATAGATATACACTTAGCGTGCGCGCCACAGCGAAGCCCTACGGAGGGTCCCTAAGTGCAGGTAACGCAACCATACGAACGAGGGTGAAGCTAAGTTCGAAAGTCCTCTCCGTCCGGCGGGTTTCCTCCGGGAGATTTGCCTTGCTTTAATGCAAAGGATGGCGGGCTAAGTGGTGAATTGACATCGACCAGAAGGGAGCTACTCCTACTGGGTTCAGTCATGCGCGTATGTTTACGCAACTTGTGCTGGCGGGCACTGTGCATAGTGGAGGTAACGGCTCCCGATGTGTGGTGACTTCCTATAAAGCTTAGCGCCGGAAAAGCGGCGCGGGTAGAAATCTATATATATTCTTTATCTAATTTTAATGCTTCGGACACTTTTAATGTTGTCTTTATACGTATGCGGTCATTTTTACGATATGACGCTAGGAGCCAGAGATGGCTGTACGGAACTGATCGGTTCCCGTACATGGCTTTTTCAAGGAAGCCCCCCTAAGCCTAACTAACTTAACCTAACTTCCTAAGCCCTAACCCTAACTAGCCTAACCGCCTTACGGTCTAACTAACCGTTGTTTAAAAATACGTAACGTTATTAATAGTTCTTCTATTCGTAATCAGGTCCTTGTGACAGATGTCACGTGACCGGTTGTCGTTCCGATATTTGTTTATGGAACTTCTATTACGTAATAGGTCTAGACCTTCGGTCCAGACTCGGATCAAACTATTTTTGCCTCTTACTCATTGTAGATTGTGTACGCCTGTTTACCTTTTTATAGAGTTTGACATCTGTGAGAGATTTTTAATGGCGGCCTTCGGCCACCTGCTGCGGCACTAAAAATACTTTTAGGCTTATTAACGTTGATAACATTATTAGACATGATACGATACTTCTTATCTTCGATAAACCTTCGTACTCAGACACATACTCCTCTCGAATATGTGTGTCCCCTCCTATTTAACCAGCTAGAAAACTGATGAGAGTACCATACTCGAAATACCACCTCAGACTACCTAGTAGCCGGGGGTATTTTTTCTAGTTTATCTCTTCAGTTACTTGTGCGCCCACCAGCGTTTTTACCCCCTAACTAACCTAACTAACCCTAACTAACCCTAACTAACCCTAACTAACCCTAACTAACCCTAACTAACCCTAACTAACCCTAACTAACTAACTAACCCTAACTAACTAACCCTAACCTGGGACGCCCACTGCAGAGTGTCGACACCTGAAGTACCTGCGCTAGGGACGACAGTGGAATCTAATAGATACGGCATAAGCATAACACGGAGCTGGATTTGCGCGAGTTTCGCTCGTTCAAGGACTTGCAGGTCTGATGAGGTGAAATTCAGGAGATATTGCATCAACTCAAGTCGATTCGCATATCGATCGACGATGACGTGGATGAGGGTCTTCCAGTCAAGGCCGCTGTTTGTCAGGTGTGGTCGACTAATGACTTCGGTGAGCTTTCTCATCACCTTCGATATGTCGTTCGATGATATCCCGAACACCCGGTGGTCCCACCGTTCAAGCCCCGCGCGGGGAAGGTGCCAGTGTGATATCATACAGCGAGACAAGACCAGTCAGGTCGAGCACAATGCGAGAATCTCCTGGGTAGCGATTGTGCCATGAGCCGGAGTGCATGACTTCGAATCTGCGAACCCCTGCGCCCAGAAACATAAAACCTCAGTCATATTGGAACACAGGAAGAAAATACTGACGGGCATCAGATTCCAATGGAGCAGGGGAGGGAGGGAAACGAGGGAAAGGGTTTTCGTCCTCCGGAAAAAGTCGGATATACAGGAAGGATACTAGCTCAACACTAGCTGTAAAATCACACAACATAACTTCACTAGAAGTCCATCAGTTAGAAGTGCGACACAGAATAAGAACATGCGCACAAGTTCATTTCCATCCTGAAAGTCTGAAAGTCAGCTATACACCATAGCGAGATAAGTTCGCTAAGCTCGCCCTCGCGTAGAATCGCCCGGGATGCACTTCTCCCCCGGCTATTATATCCTGCGTGTCCATTGTATCCTCGGCTACCTTAGCAGCACTACTTCCATCAAAGTACAAGCCCTTGAGAGATCGCGTTGTTGCCGGTGTGAGGTGCTGCCACCCCGATCCTTTCCACGAGCGAAATCGATGAAATGCTCTGGGTCTGCAGTAGCCCAGTCAGGTTCACTAAGTACCATATTGCGGCCGGTGCCATGATACAACAAAGTACCGGTTGGAATCACTCCTGGTACTATGTTATGTCCTACGAAAAAAATGAACATTTTTTTAGTTTCGGAAAACGGCGGAGATGTACCATGACGATACCGACTATTTGGCCAATGTTGCAGGAATGAGTGGACCGTGTCGAAGATCAAGTTCCTCGTCGTGTTCTCGGCAGGACCTTCGTCAAACCTCCACTGCTCAGTCTTGGAACCGAAACTATATGAATGTAGTTCATCATTGTCCAAGTTGGTGATATCCAAGGGTCGAACCCAAGTTTCATCTGCAGTGTTGACTGGGAATTGGCCATGTAGTACTAGAGCTGTTGACCCTACTAATTCTCATTTGTTCACCGGTTCACTGATGTAGGCTCAGAGCCGCTACGAGGGAATGAGAGCTCATTGTGGTGACGGGTGGGTGTTTATCGATACCGTAGTAATACTTGCGGCGGCGGCAGCAGTATCTCAGTATGAATGGGTTGACTTATCAAGGATCTTGCTCATCATAATACTCGGATGCACTCGCCAGACTTCTCCGAATTCCTGTGTTCAATTTCAAATCGTTTAAACGGGAGCACGGCAACTTCCGCGCCGCGTGTCTGCCTGGTGCCAGCACCTTCACCTATTTGTCTGCTACGCTCACATTCCAGCGCAGTGAGCACTCTCTCCATTTCGACGGACAACGAGAGAATCTACTCCGGAGATACTGTAGGACAAGTTATCGTCATTTCCACGCGGTCATTGCGACCACTCGCATCATGGAAAGCACACACCGACTCCCTGCTGGGCATCGAAGAATGGGGTTCTCAAATCATAACGTGAGTAGCTATCTGTTTTGTCCCGGCTTTTTCCCCCTGATGTTATGACTAGACACGGGAGGGATAATAAACTTCATGTCTGGGCACGACCCGAAGAGTGGACCTGCGACTTTGTCAGATCTCTCAACACCCACAACATGTTATTCTATGGATGTCAACGCTCTTAACTACTGCAGGTTCTCTCTCCTTGTCCTAGCAGGGGCGAGCACCCAGGAAGGTCTACTCGCCATTCCGAACCTCGTGGAATCAGCTCTTGTAGGTAATCCTTTTGTTGGGTGGTACGGCGTGATCTCAGTATGAACTGACCAGGCAGATATCTGGTCACTTCCATCGTGTCAAAGGCCCCACGCTGCTATAGGTGATCCACTAGACACCTCCGCAACAGCCTTTTCGGATGGCAGGTCAGGCAGCATTACATCTGTTGCTCTCAGCTTTTGGCTTTGCCCGCGGATGATCCATATGATCGATCGGTGACTCTGAGTCCGGAGCGGTCTGAACGCCTGCAAATCCCACACTTCAGGAAAATTGGAGATTAAGTGGTATCACATACTGACGCCCATGCATGTATGTGTACCTATCATTATGCAGTAAATCAAGTGGCCCCAACATCGCATTCGCAAATGGTGGGGCACCGATTCAATTATGACCAGGGTGTACGTGCCTTTACCGGCGCCAAGACTCGGGGGAACATACCCTAGAGGCGTGTGACAATATGGAACAATATTTGGCCTTGATGAATTTGAAAGGTGGATGATTTACGAGAATATTTACAGGGCCGGGCAACCATTTCAAGTATTCAACAGCTTCTTGTATTGCTGTCACAGGCATTGTGCTTTTAACGTTTTCTCCTGCAATTATTTTCTCCGTTACGTGGTCAAGTTCCACCTGCCTGGTCCTGCCAGGCTGCTCATTGAGTCATAATGAAAAAATATGCCCGCCTACGTTGCAGATTTGCAGGTACAGTTGCAGTAATCCTAACTCTCCTAACTTCTACTTTTGGAATCCCAGCCCGTTTTCGAGTTCTTCAGAAGTTCAGTCCCACTTTGATGGACTGACAACCTGAAGGCCCATGCCCACATGTATTGACGTGGAACATACTCACGGTGTCAATTAGCTTGAGAGTGAATGAGCTTGCTGAATTTGCAGGCCCACACTTCGTTTTTGTGTCTGGCCACGAGTACTAGGGAATTTGGCAAGCCAGGACAGAATCCGAGTCGTTAACCCAATGTGCCACGGTGGATTATCTATTCAAATTGCAAAGAGCTTGAAAAACTGGAGGTGAGAAGTGAGGTTGAAGGACAAAATACCTATATGAGTACCGTCATACCGCACCGTAGTATGCCACGCTCATCGTCCTAGGATTCGTTGATCATTTAAGTTGTGAAACACTTGAACCATGCAACCATACCACGCTGACACTCTTCCTTGACTGGTCCTGCAGGATCATATTAATAAGAAGACTATGGACGAGGGGAAAGTAGACAATTGTGCGTCAGAACAAGAACCAGAATGGAAATGTTGGAAAAAACACCACTGACGCACATTGCCCACGTTCTGATCACATCTGGTCACAAATCCATGACTCACCACTAAAGATATGAAAGTAGTATGTCTTCTTTTGCTCAACAAGCCTGTTTTCAACCTAATATTCCGCAGCGGGAAGCGGGGGGGGGCGCTATGCGCGCCGGCGCTTGCTGTGCGCTGGGGGGGGGGCGCCGCATGGGCGCTGGGGGGCGCTGGGGGGGGCGCCGCCTGTGTGCTTGGGGGGCGCTCGCCCCTTGATGTTGATGTGTCATCACCAACCGATGCACCCCCATTGCTTAGTCATCATAGTGAGGGCGCTCATGGGGTGCTTGGTCATGGGGTGCTTGGTCATCAGGAGGGTGCTCAAGTGCTTGATGCTTGACTTTTTGAAAAACTTGTCGATGATTTTCGCCTTTTTTGGCCATAACTCGCTCAGATTACATCATCATCCCTTCCCACCACCACAGACAGGTTCCCACAGTTCGTCCGCACAACTTTCATTTGGACTTCCTTTTTTGGAAATTTCTTCCCACGCTGCGATGACCCAAGGGTCCGTTAGTGCTTGTTTGAGTCATCACTAGGACGGAGCTCATGGAGCACTTAGTCATCATGCTTTGTTGAATCATTAAGGGCACTTGATGGTCGCTCAAGCGCTTGTTTAGTCATCATTAGCAGCGCCCATTGTTGAGTTATCATTAGGAGCGCTCGAGCGCTCCATGGGCGCTCCTCAAGCGCTTGTTGAATCATCACTAAGGAGGGCGCTTGGCGCTCAAGCGCTTGTTGAGTTAGGAGAGCGCTCCATGGGCGCTCACTCAGGCACTTGTTTAGTCATCATTAGGTCATCATTAGGAGCACTCAAGCGCATGTTGAATCATCACTAAGGAGCGCTTCATGGGCGCTCAAACTTGTTTTAGTCATCATTAGGAGCGCTTCATGGGCGCTCAAGCACTTGTTCAGTCATCATTAGGAGAGCGCGCTCCATGGGCGCTCAACGCTTGTTGAGTTATCACTAGGAGAGCGCTCCATGGGTGCTCAAGCACTTGTTTAGTCATCATTAGGAGCGCTTCATGGGCGCTCAAGCGCTTGTTCAGTCTCATCATCAGGAGAGCGCTCCATGGGTGCTCAAGCACTTGTTCAGGTGCCCCAGCGCTTTCCGGCGCCCCCCTGGTGCGCTGGGGGGGTGCCGCATGTGCGCTGAGGGGCGCTCGCCCCCTGTGTCATCGCTTAATCATCCATAGCGAGGGCGCGCTCATGGGGCGCTTGGTCATCAGGAGGGTACTCAAGTGCTTGACTTTTGAAACAACTTGTCGATGATTTTCGCCTTCTTGATGGTCACTCAAGCACTTGTTTAGTCATCAGTGCTTGTTTAGTCATCATTAGCAGCGCCCATTGTTGAGTTATCACTAGGAGAGCGCTCCACTCAAGCACTTTTTTTAGTCATCATTAGGAGCGCTCCAGCGCTCCATGGGCGCTCCTCAAGCGCTTGTTGAATCATCACTAAGGAGCGCTTCATGGGCACTCAAACTTGTTTTAGTCATCATTAGGAGCGCTCCATGGGCACTCCTCAAGCGCTTGTTGAATCATCACTAAGGAGGGCACTTGGCGCTCAAGCGCTTGTTGAGTTAGGAGAGCGCTCCATGGGCGCTCACTCAAGCACTTGTTTAGTCATCATTAGGTGTTGAGTAGGAGAGCACTCCATGAGCGCTCAAGCACTTGTTTAGTCATCATTAGGAGCGCTTCATGGGCGCTAACTCAAGCACTTGTTTAGTCATCATTAGGAGCGCTCAAGCGATTGTTGAATCATCACTAAGGAGCGCTTCATGGGCGCTCAAACTTGTTTTAGTCATCATTAGGAGCGCTCCTCAAGTGCTTGTTGAGTAGGAGAGCACTCCATGAGCGCTCAAGCACTTGTTTAGTCATCATTAGGAGCGCTTCATGAGCGCTTCAAGCACTTGTTCAGTCATCATTAGGAGAGCGCTCCATGGGCGCTCAAGCACTTGTTCAGTCATCATTAGGAGAGCGCGCTCCATGGGCACTCAACGCTTGTTAAGTTATCACTAGGAGAGCGCTCCATGGGTGCTCAAGCACTTGTTTAGTCATCATTAGGAGAGCGCTTCATGGGTGCTCAAGCGCTTGTTCGGTCTCATCATTAGGAGAGCACTCCATGGGCACTCAAGCACTTGTTCAGTCATTATTTGGAGAACGCTTCATGGGCGCTCAAGTGCTTGTGCAGTCTCATCATTAGGGCGCTCAAGCACTTGTTCAGTCATTATTAGGAGAGCGCTTCATGGGCGCTCAAGTGCTTGTTCAGTCTCATCATCAGGAGAGCGCTCCATGGGCGCTCAAGCACTTGTTCAGTCATCATTAGGAGAGCGCTCCATGGGTGCTCAAGCACTTGTTCAGTCATCATTAGGAGAGCGCTCCATGGGTGCTCAAGCACTTGTTCAGTCATCATTAGGAGAGCGCTCCATGGGTGCTCAACGCTTGTTGAGTTATCACTAGGAGAGCGCTCCATGGGTGCTCAAGCACTTGTTTAGTCATCATTAGGAGTGCTTCATGGGCGCTCAAGCGCTTGTTCGGTCTCATCATTAGGAGAGCGCTCCATGGGCGCTCAAGCCCTTGTTCAGTCATTATTTAGGAGAGCGCTTCATGGGCGCTCAAGTGCTTGTTCAGTCTCATCATCAGGAGAGCACTCCATGGGCGCTCAAGCACTTGTTCAGTCATCATTAGGAGAGCGCTCCATCTTGAAGGAGGGCGCTCATCATCATTAAGGAGAGCACTCCATTCACTAAGGAGGGCACTCATGGGGCGCTCAAGCACTTGTTCAGTCATTATTAAGGAGAGCGCTTCATGGGCGCTCAAGTACTTGTTGAGTTATCACTAGGAGAGCGCTCCATGGGCGCTCAAGCACTTGTTCAGTCATTATTAAGGAGAGCGCTTCATGGGCGCTCAAGTACTTGTTGGGTTATCACTAGGAGAGCGCTCCATGGGCGCTCAAGCACTTGTCAGTCATCATTAGGAGAGCACTCCATCTTGAAGGAGGGCGCTCATCATCATTTAGGAGAGCACTCCATTCACTAAGGAGGGCGCTCATGGGGCGCCCAAGCACTTGTTCATCACACTGGCTGAGTGGAGCAGCTCAAGTGCTTGTATTGTGGTGGTGGCTAAGCTTGATGATTAGTGATGTTCCGGCCTGGCTTGGCTCGAAAGCCGCGGCTTTGGCCCGGCTTCAGATGGCTTGGGCTTTCGAACATTCCAGGCCGGGCCAAAGCCGCCAGTGATGGCTGGCTTTGGCTCGGCTTTGGCCTGAGCTGCGGCCCAAGTACTGAAAATGAAGAAACACGTTCAAAAGATAATTTACATCATGGAGTCAGCATCTGATTCTACAAAATCCTCGTCTCCCTCCAGAAGAGCATCCCAGCCCTCCTCATCCCCATCTTCGACATCACTCAGCTTCTCATTAGCATCCATTTCAATATCAGAGTCCTCGAGAGCTTCCTCAGTTGATGACGAGGGTCCAGGCTTGCGGAAGAGTAGATCATGGCGAAGGCCACATTTGACACACTGTAGGGCCTCAACAATGTCACCTTTGAGGCGCTTGTGGCGCTTGCTAATGGTAATGCCACCCTGTGAGAACGCGCGCTCACTCGAAACTGACGATGCCATAATTGAGAGGTAGTCGTGAGCTAGCGAGGTCCATACTGGGCCATATCTGTGTCCATTAATCTACAACAAAGACTGGTCAGTATCGAGACAAGATAGACTTGGATGTGTACTTACACCCCACCATTGGATTATGCTCATTCCCGGCAGAGGTTTCGTCTCTACAGCATCGACATAGTTTTTAAAACTGGCATACCATGGTCTATGTTAAGAATGTGCTCAAGGGTCAAATCCAAAGGGCTTGGCTTCAGCTCGTGTGCTGCGCCCCTTACCCGAGTACATGCACC